ATAACTAAAAATACCATAATTTGAGAAAGAATTGTGCCTTTATGTTAAGTTATGCTTAGGTTTTTATGTAAGGATTTTTAATAAGTACTTATAAGTACTTTAAACATGCCATTTATTAATTTGTTTATATTAATGATTCCTTTTGAAGGGTGTGTAAACCTTTTGATCGTTGAAACTTTGAACCTAAATTTTTAAATGAGGGTAAGCATTTTAAGTGGGGAAGATTAGTTCAAAATTAGACCTGAGGCCACTCCCCCATCCTCAGGATGCAGTTACATACTTATAAACAGATTCTTAAACATCAAGGTTCACTAAGCATCCTCCATTCCCCTCATAATTACTCTGATCCTTAATCTCAGATACTCCTTTCCTCATATTTAAAATACCCTCAGCCTTGCACACACCCTTTGCCCTGTTAGGGTGTAGCCTGGTACTTAGATGCATATCTTCTCATCATAAATAAAGCAGCCAGTAGTAAGCACACATACATCTGCATACTCTAAAGAGTGTGTAGGCAGAAAGGAGAGAAGGCAGGGTTTGTTAGGTGCAAGACTGTTAGGTGCGAGGCAGGGTTTGTTAGGTGGAGATGCTGTACCACTGGTATGAATGGGAAAAAATGGTTGAAAGTAGATATGAGAGATGATGAATTAAATGACTACACATGGTTGATAATTAGTTGAGGGCTAACATATTATTCTGCTAATGCATGTACATACTATTTGATCTGAGACTAGCCATTGAGAGAAGTAATAATTCTAATGAGTAGACAATGATAAAGGTATTTTAATGCTAATTTAGGTCAACTATATTTGAATATAAGACTTCCTGAATTTTGTTCCGTTAGTTAATGGAAGTAAAGGATATTTTGAATAAACAATGCAAATTGTTGTAAATATTAGTGTTTCTAAAACATTTTGAAGATTAAAGTGTTAAATGATATTATAATTATTTTTAAAGATTTATTTATTTATGCATACAGGAACTGGGGTACAGGCCAGAGTTGTGGGGTGTGGTGAGAGGATTCACCAGAGACACAGCGGGGAGCAGAACAGGCAGACTGACTGAGATACACCGCTGAGGGGAGCAGCGGGCAAGTCAGGAGAGGTCTGCCTTGCCATGTGGGTTTATCCCTGGCTGGCCAGGGATCGAACTCGTGCTGCGGGGGCTGCGGGCAGCTTCGCAGCCCAGTGCTCAACCTCTGTGCCACCGGGGAGGCCCGGTTTGTATTTTTCTGAGAGTAGTCTGTGTCTCTCTAGTTTATCCAAGTTCTTGAATTTATGGAAATAAAGCTTTTTTTGCAATATTTTCTTGCTTCTGTCTTTTTTTAAGATTTATGTTTATTTATTTATGTATAGAAGAACTGGGGTATAGGCCAGAGCTGCAGGGGTGAGAGGATTCACTAGAGACAGAGTGGGGAGCAGAACAGGCAGATCTACAGCTGAGGGGAGCAGTGGGAGAGATGAGTTAGCTCCCAGGGATTGAACCCATGCTGTAGTAGCTGTTGATAGCTTGACAGTGCTGAGACTTTAACCCCTTTGACACCAGGGAGGCCCCCTCTTTCATTCTTGATATTGGTAATTTGTGTCTTCTCTCTTGTTCCTAGGCAGTTTCACTATATTAATATTGATTTATTCCAAGACCCAGCTTTTGATCTCATTAATCTTTCTCTGTTTTCAGTTTCCTTGATTTCTGCTCTCCCCCATATTGTTTTTTTTTTTTTTTTTTTTTTTTCTTTTTGGCTTAATTTGTTGTTCCTTTTCTAGCATCTTAAGATGGGAACTGTAGGGTAAGGAAAATGTCAGGCTTTTCTGCCCTTCCGCCATCAGGATAGATGATGGATCCTTGTCCTGAATGCATGCCTGATGGCGGGCACCTGGAATAGGGTGTGGGCATAGGTAGATAGGATTCAGCTGAGCTAAGACTGTGCTTTTAAGGGCGGCGTCACGGGGACACCAGCTGCAGTAGCAGCAGCAGCAGCCGCCGCCGAAGCAGAAGCCGAGAAGCAGCAGAACGAACGCTAGAGAGCCCAGATAGAGTGAAGACTTACTGGGGGCTGGGAGGCCTGCCAGCCTCCCAGCCCCCCAGCCAGCACCCCTGCCTGCCATATGCCTGGTGAACCCCAAATAAAAAACCTGGAAAACCACTGAGGACTCTGACTCCTCCTTTACCCGGTCTGCATGGGATCAGAAAACCTGCACTGTGGTCCAGTCCGGCCTTTACAGGAACTTACTGACTGGAGAGCATTCTTTGCTAGACAAACCTGTTTATTATTTATAGAGTGAAAAGTGCCCATCCTTTCTCTGTTTTCCTTTGGCTGCCTGCTTTCCACGCTGAAAGCAACCAGTATTGCTTGTTCAATATTCTTTCACAGATGGTTTATTCATGCACAGACAGATACACAGGAATATTTTTACTCTCTCCTCTTTAACATAATTGCTAGAGAGCATGCTAGCGATTACTTTGTTCTATGCTTTGCTTTAACTTACTTATCTATTTTGGATATAATTTTTTATCTTTGTTATATTATTTTTCATTCTTTTTTATGATAAATGGCCAGTCTTGGATATCTAAGGATGCAACTTGGGCCTTGGTGTTTTTATATCTTTTATTGTAGAAAACTTTGTGCTGTGCAGTTTATATTTTTCAAGGATCTTTTAACCTGTGGGGTTCCCTTTCATCATTTACCCCCCTTAAACCATTTGCTTTGTCCAGTAATGGTAATTTGTCTTCCCAGGATTCATTTTTAAAGTAACATATTGAGAAGTATAAAACACCTACAGGAAAATGCAAAACAGGAAATATAGTTTCATGAATTATTGTAAAGAAGATCTCCCATATGAGTACTATGGAGGCTGGGAAATTAGAAAGCTGTCAGCACCCTGGAAACAGCTTGAGCCATCCTTGTTGTGTTATAGCCCTTTCTGTTCTCCCGGATGTAATCAATGTCCTGATTTTCATGGAAATCCCTCCTAAGATTAATTTTTACTTTCCTGGGTAGAATTCCCTTGATAGTCTTGTGTCTTGAAATCTCTGTCTGCAGAACATATTTTGAGCAAGTTTACCATAAAGAAATGCCCCCAGCCCTGCAGCAAGCCTTGCCTCTGGCTCTCATGAGCACCTGCTCTTCCTCCCTTCTTGTTGATCTCCGGGGTGCTCACCTGGCAGCTCACCTGGCAGCGGGGTTTCTTTTGTGCTGCACCTAGCCGGACTGCTTTCCTTCAGGGCAGAAACAGCATCCATCAAGTTCTTAGTCGTGAGCAATAGCAGTCATCTCTGCCTACATTGTTAAGGGATTATAGGTGACCTTACAGGTTCTGAGAGACAGTTGGGAACGTAGGCTTGAAGACTACACCAGAAGAACAAAACTCAAAATCAAACCATAAAACTGGTCTCAAGAAGATGCCTCTGCTCCCCCTCCTGTCCTCAGGCACAGCTACTGCTTGTGCTGACGACACCACTGACTTGGGGCCGGGGGTGCTGCCTCGAGGGTCAGCCTGTGCTGCCGCAGTCCTGGTGTGACTGCTCCATGGTTGCCATCCTTGCCCAGTGGATTCCAGTATCTAAAAGTTATTAGTTTTGAAGAAAGATGTGAAAGCAAATAATTGCCTTTCTTCTTTCTGTCTCTGCTCTTCAGTAGTGACAAGGCAGGGTGTGTAAGGGTGGACTCAGCATGGTTGGCCACCAGAACTTTCAACTGTGAAAGTTCTATATATAGCTTAAATATCTGTTCCTTTTAACAGAGTTGATACTGTTTATAGCCACTGGCTTTGCTCATATAATACAAAGGATTTTGGACATAGGACCATCCCAGGGGTGTATAAGGTGTGTATAAGGTACTGTATAAGGGGTGGAGGTGTATCAGTATTTCTGAGGAACTATAGATGTGAAAAACCCCAACTAATTTTAGCTAATTGCAGGGATTCCTATTTTATCTTCTAATATACTTAATGTGATGTAATAATTAGAAATCAAAGTGTAACAGACATGACTTAGGGACGGTTTGTCCTTTTTCAGTTGTGATCTTATAAAGAAGATTTGGAAAATAGGAGACACTCTATTAGGACCATTTGTAAATATAAGTAGGTTGGCACATGCTTTTTAAAACCAAAGAGTATCATTGTCACTGCCTAGATATTTTGCTCTTAAGTTACTATGAAACTATGTAAGCATAGTCTTATGAAATTGGCGCAAAAGCCCATTGTTAATTTATTATATGACAACTTAAAAAACCAGCTCGTAACGCTTTCATGTGCTGTGAAGCCAGGTGTTGTTGGGTGCACAGCTCAGTGGGCATGCTGGGTCAGGGCCTTTGCTGATGTTGTGTTTGTGTGGCAGGTGAAGGGGGCACTGCTTCAGGGAGTTCACTTTTGGCCTACATTTCACCTTTCTAGTTCTAATGGAGAAGTAGTATTAGGCTTCCTTCCCCTTCACTTTTCTCACGTGGTGTGAAATCTGAGACATGATGCTCTTCTAGGAATGAACACATGGTAACAAAAGATTGTTACAGTAAAAGCCAGGTTGTTACAGTAAAAACCAGATTGTTACAGTAAAAACTACTTCATAGCAGCGAGTACCCTTTAGTAGATACCTATAAACTCTTACAACATCCTGATGGAACGACACATTTCTGCATCATTATTTGAACCTCAGTTTTGAACTATTTGAACCTCAGGTGTGGATTTAATAGGCTAAGTTGATAGGAAATTTACTTCAGCTTCATCCTTCTGGCCTCTGCCTACATGCTGGGACAAACTGTTTTATGTACTGTTTCTAAAAATTCGTTTCCAAATAATTGAGGTTAAGCATTATTTACTGAGCACAGATGAAGCCTAATTCTACAAAGAAAAATAATGATAGGTTTTTAAATGTGGTAATATTGTAACATATAAGGGTGAAATCAGTATAATGGTTGCTTGCTTTTCTGTGATGTGTGTGTGTGTGTGTGTGTGTGTGTGTGTGGTTTCAGATAGCAATTATTTCTAATATAATTTATTTTGCAGTGAGGGCCGAGGCAAGTTGACGGTATTTTCAGTTAAATCTATGTTAGCAACCATGTGTGGTGGAAAAATGCTGGACAAACTGAGATGTAAGTATTTTCACATTATTTGAAATGTTTTATTTTCAAGTTAGAATGTTAGTTTTAAAGGAATGCTTTCAGAATTTTGGATACTGCTATACTGAACTTTTAAAACTTTAACCTTTTTTTATTATTACTTGGCTCACCTTGCAGCAGCTGGCTTGAGTATGTAAGTTGTGCCACCTACTGTTCAGATGCACAAGTTGGTTGAATTAATTTGTTAGTGGGTTTTTTTTTTTAATTTTTTTTAAGATTTATTTATTTATTTATACAAGCACTGGGTACAGTCAGAAGTGCGGGAGGGTGAGAGAATTCACCAGAGCCAGAGCGGGGAGCAGAGCAGGCAGAAGGACCGAAGTACACTGCTGAGGGGAGCAGCGGGCGTCAGGAGAGGTCTGCGCGCCATGTGGGACCCTCTTCCAGTGGTCGGGGAGCAGCCGGGGATCGAACCGGCGCCACAGAGGCTGCGGGCAGCTTCGCAACCCAGTGCTCAACCGCTGCGCCACCGGGGAGGCCCGGTTTTTTTTTTTAGTTTAAAACAAGAAAACTGAAGACATTCAGAATAAATGTTGACATTTAAAAATTCTTTAAAAACTTTCCATATTAAGAATTATGCTCAAAATGATTATGTTGATCACTTGTGCTTAGAAAATAAGTTTACTTTCACCAGGTTCGGTCAAGTGTAGCCCTTAATAACTGCATTCCTTGTCACATGGTAGCTGTGTGCTCTGATTAAACTGTTCCCTGTCCCCTTAGCATCAAGCTCAATTATTTAGAAACCAAAAACCTGTTTTTTCAATCATCTTACCTTATTTTTTGTTCTGTGGTCATTTTGGCATTTCACTGTTCACTGGATACCATAAGAAAGAGCTTAGATGAAATCAAAGATAAAGTGCACAAGTATTTAATATTTCTGCCATGGTTTTCATTTATTCACTAGTTGGTTCCTCACTGCCTGGGGTATGCCAAGCATTGTGCTAGGTGCTTTATGTATATTTTCTTACTGAATCTTTAACATGTCTTTGAGCAGTAATGGTATTTTTTCTGTTTCATAGATGAGTTAACTGAGGGGGCAGAGCTGGAATTAGACAGCTCGGGCTGTCTAACTTTAGAGCCCTTAGTTGATGCCACTGTCATCGTGCTGGGATGGAGACACATGTGATCTGGTGCGATGTTCAAAGTGCCATAGTCCAAGTAGCCAAAGAGAAAAACTCTGGCAGGTTTCGGGAAGGTGAAGTTGAAGCTATGGGTTTTAATGAGGTGCTGAGATTGCCTGTGAATTGATTTGTTAAAGAAACTGGGTCATCTACCCTGTAGCATTTCTTATATAGATTTTGATCATTATATCTCCATGACATTCCTCTGTGACCCACATTTTTTATTGTAATTGAGAGATACAGAGGCTTGATCAGATTCAAGTACAGCTTTTGGGCAAGATTATTTCATAGATGCATTTTTTTCTGTGCTTTTTTCCACATAGTATCATTGACATTGAAAGTTGGAAAGCTAGCTGGCTCCTTAGTTAGAGATTTAGATATTCTAAAACAAGATCTTGGAGAATATTTTTGGTCAAGTGTTTTCTCTGTTATTGAGAAAGTGCAATTTTGAGTATTGTATAAAGTAGGAAGAGATCTGCATGGTAATTTTAAAAAATGTGTCTTTGATCATCTTGGAGGAACTCAAGTCACCAATATCCATATGGCACAAAAGTGTGCCTGCCCAGCTAGGGGACACAGCGAAATGCACTGTACCCCATCACTGCACATCATAGATGTTTATGTTATTCATGTTTGTCTTATTCAGCTAGATTTAAAATATGGTGTCTTTATCACCTCCATGTTCAGAGTTATAGTTCCTTTGCCTTCTGTAGCTTTGTTATGTTATTTTAATTGCGCTGTAATTATCTTGACTAGAGAAAGCTGTTCAACTTAAGTAAAATTTTCAGGTTATTGAAATCTGTCTCCACTTTTTAATTTTTGTCATCCCAGGCAGGAACCACTTTAAAAATGGTCTTGTCCTTCCCGTTTTAAACAGAGCTCATTGATCATAATTTAAACATTTTTGTCTCTTTGGGATGGCATTTCCTGATGCATTTTAGGCTAATTGTGAGACTCTTAGCACTTTGTCCCTTCTCGTATTTTCACACGACTGTGCTTTTCTTAAGTTCATGAATTTTTGGTGGTGGTGGTGCTGGTGTGTGTGTTCTTGATCACTGGTAAATGTGATGCTGTTACCAGCCTCTAAAAATCTCTTTGCTGCTCATTTACTTTTATAGTATGCCTGTGACAGAGAAAACATAGTCAGCTTGTGTAGCATCTCTGAAACTATGGGCAGGAGTAATTACTCAAATATATGAGAAGCCTGTGAGCTTTGTAGTTTTGGCTATTATGAGAATCCCTTTTTTTGCCTTGCTTTCTAGTTCTCAGCTCTGCCCTGCTTAGTTGAGGGAGCTGAGTAGTGGTCAAGACAAAAGTGAGCTGGAACAGTGCGTGGTATACCATGAGGTGCTGTCTGACCGTTTGCTCACTTTCTTTCATCTGTTTCTTCCATTGCCTTTTGTTCTTAGTTTCTCCAGCCTCCTCCCACTGATGGTACTCTCTAGGGACACCTCTGCTCCTGTTCCCATTAAACTAGGTTTTCTGATTTATGGGACATGCTTTAGTATTTCTACTTTTCCTCCTATTGTTTTGATCTTTTTGAATTTCACCTTTTATTTTAGATTTTTTTCTGTAATTTTCTTCCCATTTTTTGAATTATTTTTTGCTTACTTTTTTTTAGTGTCAAGATAGTATTTGAAATGACTTAATTATTATTTGTGCTTTTGGTTTGAAACATTTCTTGATTGAACTCTTCAGATCTCTTTGAGAGAGTTTTTGTCCCTAGGGAGCATTCCTTTATAGAAATTGTTCACTGTTGTAGCTCTTATAGATTGTATCTTTGCTTCAGAGGTGGGTTAGAATTCCAATTACTAGTGATTCATTATCAGAATACTAACTTTAGTTACAAGCATGACCAAGTCTCACTACCCCCAAAACCTCAGAGAACAAAATTTATAGACTGTAAAGCCCAGTTAATTGTCAGTTAATTTATTATCAGTTAATTTATGTGATATATTTTTTATTTTATTGTCAGTTAATTTACGTGATATATTTACTTTGTCTAATTCTGCTAATTGTTATCTCCTATTCAGAGCCCATCTGTTTGTTGCCCATCCTAAAGGATAGGAATGGCTGGTTCATGCAATTTATTTTAAACTTCTTTTACAAACTGGTGCTGTGATTTTGTAGGACAGTCTAACAGTATGTGTCAGGGATGCTGTAAGGACTTCCCCATCCATTGACACAATCTGGCTGAATTTACCCTGCAGCACTAATGAGGGGCATACCTTAAGTTCTATGCTTATTTGCTGCAAACTTTTCATAGTACTTGAAAACTTGAAACATCTTTAGTCTCCAAGTAAGAACTCAGTTATATTTTTGGGATATTCTATGATTAAATATAATGTCTGTGAGAATATGTTTCAGTTCAAAATGCTTATATATAATATAGTTTAAACAAAAATTTGTTACACACATGGAAAGAGAAAGAAGTATACAAAAACAGTAACAGATATTCTCTGGGGAGAAGCATAAAGATGGTTTTATAATAGTCTTTTATATACTTAACGTTTGTGATAGACTACACTGAGTAGCCAGAAAAAAGATGACTTGAGGTCTTTCTGTTTTTACTCAGAACTGGCGGTTCTCACTGACAACTGGCTCTTGGTTTCCTTGGTGTTGCATCAAAAGACTACAGAGGGCCAACCTTTGAAATTATAATTAAATAGCTTCCCCTGTTCGGAACTTAGCCACCCCACTCTAGTCTTTTAAGCACCTGCATGGCGTATTTATCCTGCTGGTTTCTGTTAATCATCCCTTCTCTTCATTAGACAGAAGTGGATGTTGAATCTGAATGAGTGATGTCCACATTTACATTTCTTAGGGAACCAAAGTGTTTTAGAACTGGAAGCTAGTAAGAGATAAGTCCTAAATCTATATTTTATGAATAAGAAAAACGAACAAGAACCAAGAGAGGCCTGGAGGCTTGTCTGAGGTGGTTCCTGGCTGAGTCAACAACAGAAGCCCCAGGCAGGCTGATTCCTGTTCTCCAGCCTCCTCCTAACCCCCCACCCCACATGAATGATGTGGGAATATTCATGAGTCTTGGAATAAGGTATGCACTTGGAGTTACTTACAGTTAGGTATGTATAAACATTCAGATGTGTATATGTTTTTGTGGTCTAGGTTGCTTGAGTTGGTAGAAGGACGACAAGAGTCATTAGCCAGGGAAAAGTAACATATAAAAGAAAATGGCTGACCATTCATAGATTTGACCCTATTATAAACAGTCTTAACATCTTGCAAAGGTACGTGGTGGGTCATGTGAGAGTGAAAGGGGAGTGGGTAAATGGGCAGATGCAATGAGTAAAACCGGGGTCATTATCACCAAAAAAAGAAACGTGATGATGGTAGCGTCATTAATTTGCCATCACACAAAGGACAGAATATTTTAAAAAGTGTGTACACATGTGCATTTAATGACTGCTTGTGTGTTTTTCACTAGGGAGAAAGCCTACATTTTTATCTGGAAACAACTAATGGGAATTAGCATACCTTCTTTCAGAAGTGTATAAATAGAAAGAAAATTACTGGGGAAATTAACCAGTGATCTGGGAAATAATTCAGGCCCTTAATGCCAGAGGGTTTAAGGCTTTAATTAGAGGGCTAGTTTAATTTTTTGGATATTTTCATTAAATTTTATTGTCTCATTAATTTTTTGTAAGACCATTTTATATGTATGTCATCAATTACACCTATATTTATTGTTATACATCATGTAAGATGGAAAAATTTGCTGCTTTCAGTGTTTTTCTTACAGATAAGAGATTGACCTAAAAATATATTGTTTAAACCTAATTTAACTCAAAAAATAATACATCACTATACCTTCAATTTTGGATTCGACAAGTAGTTTTTAGAAGTATTTTTCTTATTAAAACAAATAACAGTCCAACAAACATGTTTCTGCTTGTTTTCTTACATTATAACATGGACCTATTACAGTTACTTTTTTCATGAGTGAAAAAATAATTTTTTACCACTTTGAATCTGTTCTCTATAACACAATAACTAAATATAGCTAAAAATAATACTTTTCTTTTTGATGGGGGGGAGTTAGTTATTTCACTATCCTTCTACTACCCCTGGTGAGTCAGGTGTAGATTTGTCAGTGGTGGTGTACACACATGTACACACACACACATACATGATTGTGAAGCTATACATCTGTGTGTTCATGTTTTTGGTGGCTAAAGACTCTGGTCTTGAATATTTCCACCATCAGTGGCCACAAGTTGGTAATTTGCTAGTTTACCAGTTATGAACATAACAGGCGACAGAGATGTTGACTAACAGTGGCTTAAACACATTGGGTTTTTTTTTTTTTTTAATTTTTCTCATATGAAAATAAGCCCAGAGGCTGTAAGTTCAGAGTCTGCTATGACTGAAGGCTGTTCTAAGGACGGGGTCTTCCCCTGTCCTGCGCTTTCCTGCCTGGATAAGCACTGACCTGCCGCAGGCCCCATGGACCCATAAGCAGTGATGCCTTCGTCAAGACAGCAAAATCGTTTCTAGAAATCTGGTCCAGACTTACAGTGTCCAGAAAAGGCCAGGAAGTCACTTTTTAAGTGGTGCATATTGCCTTTCTAACACAGTCAGTGTCCAGTGGGTGATGGAGGGGGAAGGTGGGTGTCGAGAAGCTGGCACCGTGCAGTGTCTGCCATGTCCTGTGTGAGCCCAGCGTGTTAATTCAGCTTTAATGGATGGTCATTTGCTCATTTTAAGAACAGTGATCAGTTATTTAAAAATTAAACCACTATGCTCTTCCCCCCCACGAATGTTGCTATTCACATTACTGTAGCATCCTCAGAGTGCTCTAGCTTCTGTCTCAAATGTGGCCAGAACACTTCTCCTGTCTGTGGGATGGATGCCCTTGAAAATTTGCTGATGAGTCATACAGTTATGTTCAAAGTTCTCTATCTTTTTTCTGCATGATTTCTCCTGTTACTGAAAGAAAATAAAAATGGAAATTACCTTCTGTAACTTTTTTTCAATTGTTCTTTCAAGTGGTACACGTAAAAATCCCCCATTTCCTAGTCCAGTTTGCCATCCCCTGTAGTTTCCTGCATTGATGTGTTTTGGAGGTGACCCCCACCCCAACATCACTGCTGTGGGCCATACTCTCGCTGCCTCATCTGTGGGTTGTGTATAAGGTTTCCAACTGGTGTCTCTCCAATCCTGTTCTTCCTCTTTTATGCATTCTGCCAGTCTCTAACAGCCCAATTTTCTTGTAACCTGGCTTTCTAATACTTCTTAGTTCCCTTTCCTTCTCAGTGTAAGCTGTCTCTCATAGAACGTTCTCTTTAATGCACTGTTCCCTGCTTCCCACCTCCACCAGTCACTGCAAGTCCCTGGTGCAGACTTTCATCTTGCTCTTCTCAGTTGTGTCTCCAGTCTCCATGCCTAGCTGATTTTGATGTCATCGATCTAAATACTACCTTTCAAGACCTCGCTTCTAAATTCCTTTCCTTTAAATCAAAATCAACAAGCAACTGTAAACCAGAGACACACTGAGGGCGGGGGTGGGGGGTAGGGGGTGGAGGGAGTAGGATCAAAACAAGGGGGATGGGAATTGTATGGGGACTATAACCAAGATGAAAATGCATACATTGTGCAAAAATGAAAAATGATGTAAAAATGTATAAAATAAAAAAATATGGAAAAAGAAAAAAAAATTCCTTTCTTTTAGAACTTTCTGGATAATTCCTGCTTTTATTTTTTTCCCTCGCCACCCTCCCTGCTTTTATTTTTTTTGCCCCTATCCTAATTTATTTTTAAAGAAGTGTGATGTAATGGAATTTCTCTAGAGTGGAATAAGTGTAAGCATTAAATCTTGATCCAATTACTTGTTAATAACTCTTTTAACCTTAAGCAAGTAACCTTTCAAATTAGTTTCCTTACCAGTAAAATTTAAATACGTGCACACAAAAGTGTGCACACATACATAAAGATCTTCTTGTGAGAGTAAATATGTAATATTTAATAAAGTTCAGTAGCACTAAATATTAGGGGTTGCTTGAAAATAAAAACCCAGGATTAAAGCATCTTTATATAAAACAAGTTCAGGGGTAGGTAGCCCAAGATTGGTGCGGTGGCTGCACATTGCCGAGGACCTATACTTTCTCTTCCTTCGCTGCCGTTTTAGTGCATGATTTCTCTAGCAAAATTGAGATTACCATACAGTTTAAGGTGGCTGCTGAAGCTCCAGCTATCATGGTGATATTCCAGGTAGCAAAAGGAGGAAGAGATTAAGAGGAAAAGAGCCTTTCCAGCTTAGTCATCTCTCTTAGACTGTCTTCCTGAAAGGCCCTCATCACCCTTCTGTTTATAATCTCATTGGCCAGCACTTAGTCATATAGCTGCTAACAGGAGGCTAAAAAGTTTAATTTCTTAGTTGGGTATGTCACTGTACAAAATAAAATTAATGTTCATTACTAAGGAAGAAGGAGATAATGAGTATTGGGTGACTACTGGCAAAGGCGTCCGTAGTTACCTACAGGAGTGCCTGGCAGATAGTGAGGCTTGACAGATATCCTGATGCCTCTCTTCTCTCTGTTCTATTTAGAGTCAGTTTTGTGTGTAACTCTTCTTTGCTTCATATGTATGTAGTTTTTCCAGCTACATTGAAAGTTTCTTGGGGGATAAAAACCATATGTCATACTTCTTTGTTGTGTTTCAAAACACCTAGCAGAGTGCTTGGCACTTAGACCTCACAGTAGGAACTTAGTATTCATTAATTCATTAATTTAACTTTCCCCTTAGGAACATACTTTTTTAAGCCTCTTGTTGGATTTTTTTCCTGCTTGTATGGGTATTTAATACCTTTCCTTTAACTACAAACTAGCAGCTGTAATGAGAAAATATGCTGAAGGTTTTAATTCCTTTGATAATAACCTGCTTTTTAATGCCTGAAACATAACCCCATGTAGCTGATAATCTAACATGTTATTGTTCTTTGATTGACGTATTTTACTTGTCTTTTTCTACAACTAGTACTTCAGGATAAGTTCCCCAAATTGAAACTTGAAAGAAATACATTTTCTCTCTCTAGAGGAGAGAGAGAGAGAGAGAAGATATATAGATATAGACATTGAGAAAATAAATAAATAAATCTATTATAAATAAATAAATCTATTATACTTCTCTATACCTGTTCATTATGAATAAATATGACTGCTTGAAATTCTGTTTGGGAAAAAGTTTAGGTTATGTTTCTTTTTTTGAGCTCCTAGTTATTTTTCATTCTCCCCACCCCCAAACTATGGATTAAAGAGAAGAATAGCTGACTGGATACAGAAAACTCACCAAAAAAATGTTTAAAAATAGTGGCAATACTGAAAACTTCCTTCTCACCTGCCTGCGTCAGACTTTATGTAAAAATAGGCTCTAATGATATCAAAGTATATTGGGATAGAAGAGTTTTTATGAGTTTTTGATGTTCTACCATGGAACTCACTAAGTGAACATTTTTAAACATGCTCTATCCTTCTGTCCAATTTATTTCTTCACAGGTGTACCTGACATCATTAGCATATGAATATACAAATATAAGACAACTTCTTTCATACGCCTTCCCCAGTATGCTAATATATTCATACCCTTGAGCACACACGCATCTTATATAAACACATATATAAATGCTAAGAGATAAAGATATGCTGCTACAAATAATTCTTGGAAGAAAGTGAAATATAAATAAATAGAAAGTTATATATCATTCATTTATGCACACTCAACAGGAGACATACATGAATGACTATTTGATTTGATGTTTTGGTAGAATATTAAGTGGGTAGAAGAGAGGGCCTTTGTCAGTAAAATAACCACATAGTGTTAATAAGAATGAAATTACATATTAACTGAAACTCTTTATAGCTTTGATACTTTTTATGCTACTTTTTGACTGGTATGCGGACATAGAACCTTTATTTAAAAAATGAGTATTTCTTTATAGTTTGACTTTATTTGGTTTTGTTCTCATAGATGTTTTCTCCCAGATGTCAGATTCCAATGGCTTAATGATATTTAACAAGTTTGACCAGTTTCTGAAGGAAGTTCTGAAGCTCCCAACAGCTGTCTTTGAAGGGCCATCTTTTGGTTACACAGAGCACTCAGTCCGCACCTGTTTCCCACAGCAGGTAAGGACAGTTTTCTAGAATCTAGGGCTAGAGGAGCCCTCATCCATCCCTCCCCAGCTTCACCTGCTCTCAGCCGGTTGCTTCCAGTGTAGGGATACAGGTATTGAGTAGGGGCGAAAAAGAGTTTGAAGTTGGGATGGGGGGGATGTGAAAAGAGGAAATAAAAAATTGACTTGAGAATTCTTGTGTTTGTGTGGGGCGGGGGAGAGACTTTTGGAAAAAGTGATAACTTTTGAAATATTTTAAATTATGAAAAATTTAAAGAAAAATGTTTAAGATAAAGAGCTTATGTTATTAGTAGACATGAATTACTTTCTGAAATGTGTTCTTGAAATTGTGAAACACAGGAATTTTGATACGTGACTCTGGAGTGCTGGATCATGGTTTCCAGAGCTTTGAAGATGAGGAATGCTGCAGAGGTCTCCACTGCTAGCTTAGAATCCCTCAAGGGCTCACTATTATTTTCCTTTCTGAAAGGAAATTTGGTTTCCTCTTTCTTAGCAGGTGTCCTTTTGCAGTTCTCTTCCAGAGGTTGTGAGAGTGTGTTCTGAGATCTCCATCATGCAGAGGACTCAAGGCAGAGTAGATGCTGTAGCATCCATTTGTTCAGGTAGAGATGAGATAAAAGGAAATTCAAGCTCAACATGGAAAATTCTGAAAAGCAGGGAATTAAGAGAAAAAATGTATTAAAACTAACAGAAGATAAATGGAAAGATGATACTGACATAGTCTGAAAGCATTTCCCCATAAGAGACTTAATTACAAAAGAATACTTAGTAACTTGATAGTAGAAAAACCACTGAGATGCCACTTTAGCCAAGAGATGGGAGTCCACACCACCAGGGCTGGCCAATATCCCTCCTCCAGACCGAGGCTCTGAGCATACCTGCCATCACTACTTTGATACGGTGCTGGGAAACACAACTTCTATCTCACCTTGAGGAAACATCTGGCAAACTCAATGAAGGGATTGCTACAACATAACTAGCCTGGCTTTAAATAATGTCCATTTCATGAGAGAAAAACAAAACAAAACAAAACAAAACAAAACAAAACTGAAGATTAAAGGCACCTAAAGAGGTCTGCAAACCAAATGCATCTCATGATACAGGGTCTACTTTTGTTATACAAGAATGTACTCTTTGGAAACATCTGAATGAACTTTGTAGACTAGATAATAGTATTCTATCAGTGAATGTTAATTCCTTAATTTGATATTTATATTAAATTATGTAAAAGAACATACTATTTTTTAAGACATACATTGTGTTTAAGGATAAAAGGACATCTCTTCAGTGTTGCTTATATTTTCAGACTCTAAGTTAAAGGGTAAAAAGGAGTTGTAAAAATATTCTTACAATCTTTCTGTAAGTCTGAAATTATTTAAAACTAGTTAAGATATAAAAGGAACAAATCTAAAGGCTTGAGAACTGAAAGGACATTGTAAACTAAATCCTCCGGACCTGTGATTTTTCGATCCACAAAAGCACCTAAAGGCATGCATCTTTTTATCTTTAAAGTTAACCCATCTTTATCTTAATTCTGACTTTCAAACAGTATTTCAACCTCCGTTTAGATATTACTCAGCTTCAGCGCTGAGTGTGGCACCCACAGTACTGGGAGGTATTTTTAGTAGGAGATGTTCTCCACAAATTTATACATGCTCTGACTGATTGTTTTGGTAGAAATGAACATTTATGAATTATTTATTTTTTCTCTCAGCATAAATGGCATTATTAGCTTTTTGCATATTAAAAATATCTCTGCGTCAACTTATGCTAATAAAGCATAGTTTGCATCTCTCCTCCTAAAGATCAATGTTTGGTTGGTGTGAGACTGTCCAGACATATCTTGGTGCAAGTGCCCTGTAGGTATTAACTTGCCCTCAGGGATACAAGTGAGCTTGAGGTAGAAGACACTACAAGCATCTGTCACCTGGAACTCCTCTCATTGCTGCTTTAGGCATCTACCTGCCATCTATCTGCCGCTTGCCCCCCAGTCCTCTGGGACCATCTTGTATGTTAAATAAACATGACTTTTCACACAGATGCTTTTGGAGTTTGGGCTTAGAACTGATAAAGTTCTGGAATGCTGCTCTTAAATAGTGTCAGGATGGGGAAGGAGATGTATACAAAATAGTAATAGTGAAGAGTAGCATTTGACTAATGGATTACAATTATGTGGGGCACCAAATTTAAAGCAATCTTTGATTTAATTGTAATGTGACTACTGTAATGAGAATCTAATATTGGAATAGCAGTTAATACCAGAATAGCAATTTAATATGTTGAGGAATATAAAAAAAAAGTCTAAGGCAAGCATTCTAAGAATGATATCTAGGATACTGCATATTACCTTGTAAAATGATTCAAAGACCTTTACAGTCAACCACAACATAGTAGTTGATTTTCACCTGCTTCAGATTCCTGTAAAAAACTCTGTGTTTTGATTTTTTGCTAAATTTGGAAAAGTCAGAGAAGCTTATCTCAGTGTAGAGGAAACTTTAGTTTTCCTGGGTTTATAAAGATGACCCAAAAAATCTTTAAAAGAAATAGAAACTACTGGGCTTTCCTGGTGATGCAAGGGGTTAAGAACCGCACTATGAAGCAGTCCAAAGCCTCTGCAGCACGAGTTTGATCCCTGGCCTGCCAGGGAGCAACCCACATGGCGAAGCAGACCTCTCCTGTCTCGCCCGCTGTTCCCCTCAGAAGCGCATTTTGGTTAGTCTGCCTGTTCAGTTCCCCGCTCTGTCTCTGGTGAATCCTGTCACCTCCCAGACCTCTGGCCTGTACCCTAGCTCTTGTATGCATAAATAAGTAAATCTTTAAAAAAAAAATAGAAACTACTGATAGTGTAACCAAAAGAATGAGACTGGACAAAATGTCATGCAGCAAAAATTAAATATTATGAATTTTGGGTTCCTTTCTGAAAATGGACTTTTCCTGACATGTTTCTTTAATTCAGGTTTGCTCATCCCATAGAGAAGGTATTTGTGTAAAATGGAAGTTGTTTAGTGCTGGCTTATATGTAAATTTCCCACCCTCTTAAAGTTCTGGGCTGAGCAAAGAAGTCATCACAATTTCAGAGAAAGTGTGACTATTTTAAGAAGCTGCAAATTCTGCAGAAATATATTCCTTTAGGGAAAGAAGTGGCTAGTTTGGTGGATTCGTGAACTGCTTCACTTTTACAGTGTTAAGGTCATGAAGCTGGGGGGACAGCTTGTGAAGATAGTCTTCTCTCTCCCTTCCCATGGTAAAAAAATCAACTGATGGACTTAGCCATCCCCTGAATCTGGTATTTAGTTTGGATAAGACTAATCTAGCATGCCCTTCTTATGAACAAGGAAAAAGTGTCTTGGTATTTAAGGCTGAAAGGAGTCATCTGATAGAGAATCTTGGAAGACGTGCCTGTGGTGATTTAATTGCACTGGTGCTTTTACTATTTTTGCAATTCTTTTGTTAGGCCTCTGTTTCCAAGGCTACATGGGTTATTAGTTTTGTTCCAGCCTTGTTTTTCTTATATACCTTGTTATTTTTAATTCCCTAGTTTTGCAGTATGTGCAGTATTTCAGTAATGTATGTCTTGTATCACAGGAGAAGTACTTTCATTTTTCAACGATATGAAGAGAATTACATATTTTTTTGTTTCAAATGTATTTTACTTCCTCATTAATGCTGTATTTTAATGGGTGCAGTGTTTTTACTTGGCATCAATCATGAGTTGATTTTGAAGTAATACAGTATTACACCAGCTGGGTGATTACTGATCTCTCCATCCCTTTGGGGTGACTCTGCCAGCGGGACAGGTTCTGTTCTGCTCTGGCTTGTGCTGCTATGTCCACATGGCAACGCAAATAGCAGCTGCACTAGCCTGTGCAGCATTCCCGTATTTGTCATGGAAATCAGGTATCTCCTTCTGGTGGCTCTGTCTTACTATGGTTTGCTGAATGTTTCAAACTCAGAGACAATTTAGATTTAGTGTGTTTTTGGCCAAGGGAAACTGTAAATTTTTTTTAAAATAAATTTTATTTTTATATTCCCCATACAATTGCAACCCCCTTATTTTGACCCCAATCCCTCCCCTCCCCGCCCCCCACCCCCCATAGAGTGTCTCTGGTTCATAGCTTTTTGTTGATTTTGATTTTCACTTTCTTATGGTTATTCATTTTCCTGGTCCCTTATTTAAGTTTTCTAGATTCCTGCTATGAGTGAGATCATCCGGAATTTTTCTTTTTCTTTCTGGCTTATTTCGCTGAGCATGATCCCTTCCAGCGCCATCCATGTTGCTGCAAATTGCATGTGTTTATCTTTTTTGAATGCTGAGTAATATTCCATGGTATATATGTACCACATCTTCTTGATCCAGTCATCTATTTTTGGGCATTTGGGTTGTTTCCAAAGCTTAGCTATTGTAAACAGTGCTGCTATAAACATAAGGGTGCAGGTGCTCTTTGGAATTGATGTTTCTGTGTCCTTTGGGTAAATACCTAGGAGAGGAATTGCTGGATCATATGGAAGCTCTATGTTTAGTAGGTCCAGAAATCTCCACACAGCTCTCCATCGTGGATGGACCAGTTTGCACTCCCACCAGCAGTGCAGGAGAGTTCCTTTTTCTCCACATCCTCGCCAACATTTGTTGTTGCTAGTTTTTTTAATATGTGCCATTCTCACTGGTGTAAGATGGTATCTCATGGTAGTTTTGATTTGCATTTCCCTGATTACAAGTGATGTTGAACATTTTTTCATATGCCTGATGGCCATTTGCATTTCCTCTTCAGAGAAGTTTCTTTTTAGCTCTTCTGCCCATTTTTTGACAGGATTATTTTCTTTGTTGTTGTTGAGTCTCATCAGCTCTTTGCAGATTTTTGTGATCAGTCCCTTCTCATTAGTGTTGTGTGCAAAAATGTTCTCCCAGTCTGTGGGGTTTCTCTTTGGGGAAACTGTAAATTTGAAGACAGAACTGTGGCAACTGTAGCTGCTGGTTTGGTGCAACTGTGCATC